AAGACTTGTGTCGCTTAAGTTTCGTCGGAACGAAGTTACGGAAAATTAATTAACACACGGAGACGTAACAGTATTGAAATTATTGTGGAGTGAAGACAGTGAAACGAAATTTGAGACGACAACGGCTTCTGTCCCTTCCCCTTCTGGCTGGCCATAAACTGTCTTATCAACAATCCTCCAGCTCTTCCTTCCCCTCTTTATCGCCTGTAATTCATTTAGTGATATCATTAATAATTCGAATTTTTGGTATCAATAGGAAAATAACAAATAAATAGTAAAATGGTCCACACAAATTCCAAATTTCTTGTTAATATCAGTTAGGAAAAAGCTAAGCAATAAGTCTATGCGATGACGTATTAGTTGTGTAATATTTCATTAAAAAGCTATTATTTGTTTGTAGTTAAGCACAAAGCTACACAAATGGTTATTTGTGCTCTGCCCACCACGCGTATCGAAACCCGGTTTCTATGGTTCTAAGTCCGCAGACATGCCACTGTGCCACTGGTTTTTTTTTTTGGTTTTTTTATTTTTGTTGTTGTTATTGATTGAAGTGATTAATATTATTGTTATAAGTTATATATTTAATGTTGTAATTTAGATGTTAACTAGAGAGCGCATCACGGCAAGATCAAATCAATTCTAGAATATTGGAGAATATTAACGAACGAGTGGCTTTGCGAAATATCCAAGACAAGGATTAGATTATAAATACGCATGAGCCAGTCAATTGGCTGAGTAAGCTTGCAGTGAAATAGCCAAGCACCAAGATAAATGAGAGTTGCTTTCCAGTCAGATTGTTCACGTTTATTGTGTTACTTATCGCGCACATTGAGTTAATTTTTATGACAGTGTAGTGGTTTTTCTTGGCCAGAAAAGCCGTTGCCTCACTATTTCAAACGAATCCGACCTTACAAATCTCAAACTTTGTGAAGTTTCGCTCATCTCTAGAAGGAAGAATCATTAACCCTTTCATCCAGGTTGTAGGCAAGTTATCAAAGTATAATGAATGAAAATATTACAAAATGAAAAATTAAGTGTGTAGTTCTGTTAGTATTGATCACAAAGTTCCAAACAACTTATGGTCAGGTCACATATTTTTCACTTTTTCATACTTATTTTCTGTGGTTATGTTGTTAGCAACCGACTTAGAAACTCGACGAAACAAAATGAATAGTAACGTCGGGACTTTTGAGTACGAACCACGAAATTACAAAGTAAATCTCCTGAGAATTTCTACTTCCAATCTTTTCACACCTGTTTCCTATGTTTATTTTACTGTTAGCGGCTTAAATAGAAACCTTTCGAAAACAAAGCAATGAATCGCCACTCTAGGCATTAATCTTTTCCCGGCTTCGAAAACACAGTTAGGTAGAGTTTTTCGCCTTTTTTGTAGTACAGTAATTGCAACAAACATTGTCTAAAGTACTATATACAAATGAGAGAGGTTATTTACTATATTGGTGTCTACAAAGTCTGATCCAATCCAATAAACTTGTTAGTTATTTGAATGTTAGTTACCTCCCGTAATTTAGCGGTATAGGTATAAAAATGTATAAGAGCTTATGAACATCCGGTTTCCTTCTTTTTTTAAAAAAAAGGCACGTGTGTAATGTTCAATTTTAAAAACTCACAGTTTAAAAAATACGATTATTTTATACACAAATCTATAAAAATGAGCTTGTTTCCAGTTCCAAATGACTAAAATACAACAATTTACTGTACAAGATAAAAAGTGGTAAAAAAAACCCGATGAAACCGGAAAACAATCTCTACCAGTTTCGACGTATGCTATTGCGTCATCCTCATGAATGTAATGTTTTGCAAAAAAAAAAAAATAACACTAATTTATATACAATTATCAAAACACCAATTTACATATTAAAGAATTTCACGCCATCTGCTAAAAATA